ATGAGTAACGAGTCTAACGAAGATTTTTTTTTTCTTTAAAGAAATGTTCGAAAGAAAAAGAATTCTGTATTTATTTACCATTCTCCATTCCGGGTGGATGCCGTGAACTCCTACCGACGCAAAATATCGCGCGAATCCTTCATTCAGCCACAAATCGTCCCACCATTTAGGAGTTACTAAATTGCCGAACCACTGTATATACATATATAAGACTTATACACAACGTTTTATATTGACAGTCAAATCTCGATACGCGCCTTCCCAAACAGCACCCCCTCATTAAGAGCCAATGAATATTTGTGAACGAATCTGCGAATTATAGTACCAAATGAAATTCAAATTTTTCTGTACATCTCAATATTAAACATAAATGTTATTGTTTGGAGCACTTTAAAACCATACTCGATGAGAATTTTGCAGGCGTGTAAACGGTATTGCTAAATCGAAGTTTGACTGTACGAGATTTCAAAAATATTATTTTAAAATATATACCTTATACATAAATATTATCAAATTTATTAAACATTTATAATCAAATCATTTAAATAAATGTTTTATATTTTAACACGTAAAATGCTCGCGTTCATAACATTAATTTAAATCAAAAGCAGTTGGTAATTCGTGTGAGATGTTTTATTCAAAGTTCGAGTATACTTAAATATAAAACTTTAATAATAATAATAATAGCTTTTAACAACTATAAAATTCTTAATAAATAAAAAAATTCTCGCCTCTTTAAAAATTTACATTAATTATCAAAGTTATTTTAGTTTATGGCGTGCCACGAAATATAACTGGAAGATTTTCTTAAAACATATGATAATTTAAAGCGGTTCTTACGCTACATATTCAATTAGCAGATACACCCACCTCTGCCTGGGAGAAAATAAGAAAATATTCAAATGGAAGCCGTATTAAAAGCTTCGTTTTATCTTGTTATTGTTATACATATTTATCACTAATTATCAAAGGGACGAAATCGGGGGAAGAATGGGATTTTCGGGCTTAGTGGTAGCCGATATTTTTATAGAACTGCTATAAAAATTTTGGTGCAGATCGGTAAAGAAGGGTTTAGAAATGTATAGAGAACAGACGTACACGCACATTTTACAAGTACCTCGGTGCGGTAAAGTTCGGCCACGCGTGTAATGTTAAAGTGCCAACTTTGATCCTTAATATCTCCACGACCAACTAACCGATTCGAATGAAATTTAAAAGTATTTAGTGTCCGCGACGAGTACTATGGACGCGTTAAATTTTGAATAAATTCGTTGGGTCGTTTCGGACTTACGCGATTGGGATTTTGTCGCATAGATTTACAATAGCGACACCGAGTTGCCGAACGATCTACTGTAGAAGGAATCTGCGTTTAATAAGTCGTTCGAGAGTCGACCGCCTCCCGTTTACTCTATAGAAGGTTTTATTTAAAAATACCGATTATTTATATAATAAGAGCCCGTGTTCTTACATTTCGACATATTATTCGTCAATCTGTTATTACGTGACATAACGTACTGAAGGCTAAAATGTGACTATCGAGTGAAAATAGAATTATTACGAAGTTACCGATGACTGAAAAACACTCGAAATCCCATAAAAATATTATTGGAACCGGGTTAAAAATAAATCTCGGCGAAAAAATTAAATGAGGAAAACGTTTGAAAGTCGTGGCATAATAATACGGGAATCAGATTTGGCAGTAAGACTTAACGTGCGAATAAAGCGCGTTACACAGACTACAAGAGAAAGTTTTGGACGAAGCGATGTCACCGAGATAATAAATCGAGAAAACGAGCATTGTCACAGAAAATAAAGGCTTTAAGTTTTACTTTCTGACTTAAATTCGTTGCAATTACGATAATTTGGCCAAACTTTAGCGCATCATTAAGCGATATTAGCGAAGGCACTTTAAGGCACGCGCAGTCTGTGTAATGCAACGCGCACTTTATTCACACGTTAATCTTACTGTTGAATCTGGTTCTAGTTTTCTACGCCACTGCTTTCAAAAGTTTCCTTTATTTAGATGTTTTTGCTGAGCTTTACTTTTCAACCCGGTTCCATCAGTTTTTACGCAATTTTTTGTTGGCCAGAAAAGCAACGCCTGGCTTAAACTCGCGTATTTTTGGATTAAAAATCAATTCTAAATTTTTTATAGTAAAAATTATTAATTTTTTTTAAATTAGAAGATAAAAATGAACTTTCTAGATTAATTTAAAATTGAATTTTTAGAAAATTTCATATTTAAAAAAATGATTCTTTTAATAAAAAGTAAGGGGCGATGGGCAAAACCAATCGACGTTCGCTTCATTCTACAAATAAGAAATTTTTTAAAACCCTTTTCTCCTATTGGAAGTAAGAACGCCTGGATTAAGCGCTAATTATACACAGTGGCGGCTTTAGGTTGGGCAATTTTAGGCCACCCGTACGGCCCCATTTATATAACTTTATGTGACGTAACGATAATATTAGACCTCTTCTCAATGCCGATACTTTTGTGTATATCTACGCGTTTAATTCTCCTTAAAAACTGGGTCGGGGCTTCGAAAGCGCTTAAAACGGCCCATAACCGGTAAAATTTTAACTAATTTATACGAATAAAACTTACGAATAAAACCTGGAAAAATATAATTATCATTTAATTTTTTTGTTCTTTCTAGAAGTGCAATTAAAAGACTTAGAAGAAGAACAAACTTTTTTACAATAGAAAAATATTTAGACAAAAGTTTAAAAGTTTCCAATTTAGAAAGAAAGAAAATAACTGATGATCAAGATGAAAATTCTTCAAGAACATTACATTGTAAAGAAAACATTTTTTATAATTATTCCACTCCAACTTCAAATAATAAACAGAATACTAAAAATGCACACAGGCATACCCTACCCAAAAGAAAAATTCAGAAAAAAAAAGTTTCTGAAGTATCTGCTAGTCCATGTTTCCCAGATACAATATTTAAAAGAAGAGTGTCTAAACTAATACCCAAAGAACAAAAATCTTATAATTTAGATAAATCAACTATATATTCACAAAAAGAAATGAAAGTTTTTACATCAAAAAATGAATCTATTGATTCTGCTGATGTTTCAGAACTTTTTGTAGAAGAAACTGAAGATCCGTATATATTCATAGCTAGTCAAAATTCACCCAAAAAACAAAAGAAAAAAAACTTTAAATCAAAAATTTTAATTTCAAATGATAAAAATTCTGATTTACAAAAATCAGATATAAAATCTTATAATAAATTAAATAATAAATCTATTAACAGCATTGATTCATGTATCATTGTAGATGACAATTGCAAAGTGCAAGATAAAATTTCAACTAATAGTAATGACAAAAATCATAATGAAAATAGTGATTGTGATTTATTTTTGACACCAGCTTTGAATATTGAACAATTAAAAAGTAAAAAAAAGGATTTATCCATTAGCTTATCCAAAATGGAAACTAGAAGTGTCAAGAGAAGAAAGAATAGCTTAAAAAGTCAAACATCATATTCAGAAGAGAATTATATAGATTGGATCGAAGAGATTTCAATGGCAGAATCACATGCTTTAGTTATAAAAAATGAAACAAATTGTGAAAATAAACGAGATTGTCAATTGAGTCCAAGTGTAATAAATGAAACGCAGAGAATGATTATTCAAAGTAAAAATGTAGTAATTGGAAATTTCAATGAAGAATTTGATTTAAGCACAAAGGGGGCTATTTCTGATGTTTCTAATTTTACACAATTAGAAAGTATTGAAACTGATGAAATAAATAAAAATCTTTCAACACAGAAAGCAAGTACACATGTTGAATTACAAAAAATTCCTACTGTTCCAGGAAATAAAACTTCTGATATTGAAACTAATTATGGAAATGAATCTAATTCTCAGAAAAATGAACTTTCTTCAAAAATTGAAGTCAATAATATATTAAAAAATGAAAACAATTTTAATGATGATAAAATTATTTTTTCTTCTGAAGTATTTTTAAATGAGAAATTATCTAAATCTGAAACTGAAAAATGTCTTATAAATGATGAATTTCAAACTGACAAAAGTATTTGTAAAAACAACAATGAAAATGCCAAAGTTGAAGAAAATACTAATCACACTTTTTTTCTAAAGAATATTCAAGAAAATGAAATAAATAAAATTTCAAGTAAAACCACTACTTTAATTTCTGATAAAGTAAATTTGGAAGAAAGTTTTCCTCCTCCTACAGTTCCAGAAACTTTACAACCAATTGTTTCTTCAAATAAAAAATCATTTATTACTGAAGACAAAAATATTACAGTTGCTCAGAAACAAATGGATTCAGCAGTTAATTTCTCCAGTTTTAATTTATCTAATGAATGTAATAGATCAAAAAATTTTACTGATATAACTGTAACAACAACAAATAATAATGATGGTGGTGATGATTCAGAAGATGAAATTTTATACACACCAAAGATAAACTCTGATAAACCAAAAAGAAAAACTTTTTGTCTTGAAATTGAAACACAAGATTTAAAAGAATTAGTTGAGTATCGAAATACTCTTGACTTATTAACTGAAGTATGCTCAGAATTTGCCAATAGTAATAAGAAATCAGATCATTTACCTGATGAAATTAAAAGTACAATAAATGAGACACAAAATATTTGTAAAACTTTAGATAGTGCAAACAAAACAGATCTGGAATTAATTAGAAAATCTGAATTTAAAGAAGGCAAAAATTATTCAAATTTCCCTCAAAATGAAATTATGACTGAATGTGAGAAAACATGTGAACAGTTAATAAATTTTGATAAAAATATTTCTGAAAATACAGGTAATTTATTTCAGCTTCATGAAGAACCTAGCACTCAAAGTATTGGCATGCACAAAACTCTTTCAAGTTCAACTCCCACATTATCATTAGAAACTAGAAAATCTGGCATTTTTAAAGAGTTTTCTAAAGATACACAAACTGTTAATATTACTATTCCATTAGATAATTTAATGGAAATTACAAAAACAGAAAATAGATTCATTGAAACAAATTGTCCAGGATGTCAGTGCAAAATTGATATAAAGAAGAATGAGAATAATTTAATAATTACTTTCATTAAAAATAGTGGAGAAGTGCAAACAGAAAATCACAGATCTGTTGACATTGAAAATAAACAAGATTGTCAGTTGAGTCCTAGCATTATAAATGAAATGCAGAAAACAACAATTCAAAATGAAAATGCAGTAATTGGAAATTTCAATGAAGAATTTCATTGGGATAAAGAGAAAACTATATCTTGTGTTTCTAATAATGAGAATAGATTTACACAATTAGAAAGTATTAAAATCGATAAATTAAATAAAAATTTGGATTACAAGATTTGCAAAAATTCACCAATATCATATTCAGAGGATCTTCTTGCTGATCTAAATAAAGAGATCTCTCTAGATACAACAATTAAAAATAAAATATATTATTCAGAGATTAATGAAGAAAATGAAATTGACAAAGAATCAATTCATGGATGTCTAAGTGATAATTCTAAAATATCTTCAGAAAGGAACAAAATTAATCTTGATAATGTAAACAAAATTAGTTGTGAAAATACATCTTTGGATAAAAAATATGATGCCAATGATACTGAAAAGATTCATAATAGTAGTGATAAATTTCAAACCAGTACAATAACTACAGATTCAGATCTGCTTGCAAATGTAAACAAAGAAATTATGAAAAATGTAAAAAATAAAATAAATCATTCAGAAATTTACGAGTTATCTGAAGAAAATAAACAAGAAGTTTATAGAGATCATGATGATATTAAAACAGTGACACAAACAAGAAATATTGATTGTATTGACATAAATGAAACTGAATATGAGAATGAAAAGGTACTTGAAAATGTATCATCAGAAGAAAATTGTAATATAAATGAAGTTGACACAGAAATTAACAATTTTCAAATCAACACATCTGCTTTGGATACAGATGATCTTACCAATTTACGAAAAAACTGTAATGCAAATAAAATTAATAGAAGAAAGACTTACAATGATAAAAATAATTTAAAAATAACTTCACAAGTAATTGAAATCAGTGATGAAACTTCAGAACAGTTAGATACAGAACAGTTTTTAGTTTCTTCAATTCCGAATAAATGCAACAATTTACAAAATGATAAAAATAATTTATTAGAAAAAATTAACAGAATAAGTCAAGAAGATACTCCAGAGGAAATTAATCAAATATTAGGTCAAAATGATACTTTGATTACATCTTCAAATAGAAACTTAGAAAGATTTTTGAATGAAATGTCTTGCCCTTCAAGTGACCCAGATATGATATTTGCTGAAAGTCTTGTAGCACCACTTAAAAATCTACAACATCCAAAACAAAATCAAACAACTAAAATAAATTCGATTAAAGGTATTCATCCATTGAATGTCAAGCTTACTGTTAGTCAAGATAAAAATGAATTTATTCAGAATGCAAATAAAAATAAGTTAGATGAAACCATAAATCAAGATGATCTCTATAATTCAAAAACATTTAATGATGCAAAAAAGACAAAAAATAAAATTAATGACAGTCCTAAGAAAGAATCATTTTCTTTGAAAGTAAATAGTCATTTGTCAAATAGTTTAACATCACGAAAGAACTTTAATGTATCAAATGATATGGGAGCACAGATCACCCCTGAAAAGTTTAAATGTCAAAAAAATTTTCAACGCATAAAAACTTATATATCAGATTCCAATAGTGAATCTGACAGTGATATGTCTCAAGAAATAATAGAAGATAGTAAACCAAAAGATACAAATATACAAAATATAATCCCAGAGAATAAAAACTTGATATGTCAGACCAATTCATTGCTAAAAAATAATGGTAAGTTAAATATCTGATTTAATATTTATATTTTAAAATATTAATGAAATAAATTAAATTTATTGCTATTATTATTTTAAAATTTTCATTAAGATATATTATTATTATTTCAGCTAGTCAAGTTTCTCTTACAATAAATTCTGAAAATACAGCATCAAGAGAATATTCAAACCAATCAAATGTATGTATTTTAAATAAAATTTAAAACTATGACTATTGGAATTATGAAAATATGAATTAGTATCTCATTTATATATATTTTATATTCAATAGATTCGAGAGAAAATACGTCTAGATATACAACAGATGAAGGAACAGATACGTCAAATGGAAATTCAACTGCAAACGTCAGTTTGTGGTAAGTTTCAATAATAAAGTTTAATGTTTAACATAACATATACTAAATGTTGTTTATATAATTCCAGAAGGTGAAAATAAATCATTAAATGCACAAACTGAGGAAGAAACTGTAGTAACTAGTGACAGTGAAGAAGGAAGTGATGATCTTTTTTCACCAATCCCTCCAACTCCTCCTTAAATATTTGTGCATTTAGTAAATATTATTCTTTAAAATATTTATAAGCATGTATAATTTCTACTGTACATTATATATTTTAATTTGTTATTAATAATAATTTTGATTTTTTTAAAATCATTAAATACTTTGTTTCAATGAATAAAAACAAATTTTTGTTATAAAAGTTCAAAAACTTTGGTATTATTTTATATTTGAAATATAACCAGATGATTATATAAGAATTTGTGCTTAATTGAATTATTTTGATAGAAAATAATCTTTATTTAAGCAAATAATATTATATATATATTTTTATTAATCACTTATAAAGTGTATTTTAATAAACTTAATTTGTAGAAATTTGCTAGATTTTATTTTTAATGCATATATTTGAAAATATAAAGTTTTTTTGAACTCATTTTATAGAATTTGTTTATGTATCTATTGATGATCCAATTTTATGATACAGATCAGATCATTTAGTCATGCATTGCTTAACAATAAAGGTCTCATAAGATCATAATTGAACTGAAAAATTTGCCTGTTTAGTTTTTAGAAAAGTTTTTCTATGTTTAGATACATAAATACTTATTGCATTACAGCTATGTTACCTACAACCTTTATGAGTATGACTATACCATATACAGCTTGTCTAAGTACACTGCAATGGTTGCTAATGACAAAATATTTAAACCAATTTCTGAGAATATATCTGCCATTAAATGTACACTACAGTACATATATGTATTGAGAAAACAATGATGCTTACCAATAGTGTAAAAATTGTAAAATCTATATGGATACTGAGAATGAGTTACATATTTAGTTAAGCTTAAAACTTTTTACAATTACATTTGAATTACAATTCTGTAAGATCATTTAGTAGTGAAGTGTTTCTCAACTGGTGCTCCACAAAGAAACAAGCAGCATTTGTGAACCATTGCTCGACAAAAAGACAATTTTTCAAAGTTTAGTTTTCTTAATTTATAAGATTTTCATTAATGTCTATCTACTTAATGTAAACATCTTATACACCTATATGTATTAGTGCCCCCATAAAAGGAAACACTAAAAGTGAAAAATGCTGCAGTAATTGTATGGTATACAGTACTGTACCTACATGATGATATTAAAACAGTGACACAAACAAGAAATATTGATTGTATTGACATAAATGAAACTGAATATGAGAATGAAAAGGTACTTGAAAATGTATCATCAGAAGAAAATTGTAATATAAATGAAGTTGACACAGAAATTAACAATTTTCAAATCAACACATCTGCTTTGGATACAGATGATCTTACCAATTTACGAAAAAACTGTAATGCAAATAAAATTAATAGAAGAAAGACTTACAATGATAAAAATAATTTAAAAATAACTTCACAAGTAATTGAAATCAGTGATGAAACTTCAGAACAGTTAGATACAGAACAGTTTTTAGTTTCTTCAATTCCGAATAAATGCAACAATTTACAAAATGATAAAAATAATTTATTAGAAAAAATTAACAGAATAAGTCAAGAAGATACTCCAGAGGAAATTAATCAAATATTAGGTCAAAATGATACTTTGATTACATCTTCAAATAGAAACTTAGAAAGATTTTTGAATGAAATGTCTTGCCCTTCAAGTGACCCAGATATGATATTTGCTGAAAGTCTTGTAGCACCACTTAAAAATCTACAACATCCAAAACAAAATCAAACAACTAAAATAAATTCGATTAAAGGTATTCATCCATTGAATGTCAAGCTTACTGTTAGTCAAGATAAAAATGAATTTATTCAGAATGCAAATAAAAATAAGTTAGATGAAACCATAAATCAAGATGATCTCTATAATTCAAAAACATTTAATGATGCAAAAAAGACAAAAAATAAAATTAATGACAGTCCTAAGAAAGAATCATTTTCTTTGAAAGTAAATAGTCATTTGTCAAATAGTTTAACATCACGAAAGAACTTTAATGTATCAAATGATATGGGAGCACAGATCACCCCTGAAAAGTTTAAATGTCAAAAAAATTTTCAACGCATAAAAACTTATATATCAGATTCCAATAGTGAATCTGACAGTGATATGTCTCAAGAAATAATAGAAGATAGTAAACCAAAAGATACAAATATACAAAATATAATCCCAGAGAATAAAAACTTGATATGTCAGACCAATTCATTGCTAAAAAATAATGGTAAGTTAAATATCTGATTTAATATTTATATTTTAAAATATTAATGAAATAAATTAAATTTATTGCTATTATTATTTTAAAATTTTCATTAAGATATATTATTATTATTTCAGCTAGTCAAGTTTCTCTTACAATAAATTCTGAAAATACAGCATCAAGAGAATATTCAAACCAATCAAATGTATGTATTTTAAATAAAATTTAAAACTATGACTATTGGAATTATGAAAATATGAATTAGTATCTCATTTATATATATTTTATATTCAATAGATTCGAGAGAAAATACGTCTAGATATACAACAGATGAAGGAACAGATACGTCAAATGGAAATTCAACTGCAAACGTCAGTTTGTGGTAAGTTTCAATAATAAAGTTTAATGTTTAACATAACATATACTAAATGTTGTTTATATAATTCCAGAAGGTGAAAATAAATCATTAAATGCACAAACTGAGGAAGAAACTGTAGTAACTAGTGACAGTGAAGAAGGAAGTGATGATCTTTTTTCACCAATCCCTCCAACTCCTCCTTAAATATTTGTGCATTTAGTAAATATTATTCTTTAAAATATTTATAAGCATGTATAATTTCTACTGTACATTATATATTTTAATTTGTTATTAATAATAATTTTGATTTTTTTAAAATCATTAAATACTTTGTTTCAATGAATAAAAACAAATTTTTGTTATAAAAGTTCAAAAACTTTGGTATTATTTTATATTTGAAATATAACCAGATGATTATATAAGAATTTGTGCTTAATTGAATTATTTTGATAGAAAATAATCTTTATTTAAGCAAATAATATTATATATATATTTTTATTAATCACTTATAAAGTGTATTTTAATAAACTTAATTTGTAGAAATTTGCTAGATTTTATTTTTAATGCATATATTTGAAAATATAAAGTTTTTTTGAACTCATTTTATAGAATTTGTTTATGTATCTATTGATGATCCAATTTTATGATACAGATCAGATCATTTAGTCATGCATTGCTTAACAATAAAGGTCTCATAAGATCATAATTGAACTGAAAAATTTGCCTGTTTAGTTTTTAGAAAAGTTTTTCTATGTTTAGATACATAAATACTTATTGCATTACAGCTATGTTACCTACAACCTTTATGAGTATGACTATACCATATACAGCTTGTCTAAGTACACTGCAATGGTTGCTAATGACAAAATATTTAAACCAATTTCTGAGAATATATCTGCCATTAAATGTACACTACAGTACATATATGTATTGAGAAAACAATGATGCTTACCAATAGTGTAAAAATTGTAAAATCTATATGGATACTGAGAATGAGTTACATATTTAGTTAAGCTTAAAACTTTTTACAATTACATTTGAATTACAATTCTGTAAGATCATTTAGTAGTGAAGTGTTTCTCAACTGGTGCTCCACAAAGAAACAAGCAGCATTTGTGAACCATTGCTCGACAAAAAGACAATTTTTCAAAGTTTAGTTTTCTTAATTTATAAGATTTTCATTAATGTCTATCTACTTAATGTAAACATCTTATACACCTATATGTATTAGTGCCCCCATAAAAGGAAACACTAAAAGTGAAAAATGCTGCAGTAATTGTATGGTATACAGTACTGTACCTATATCAATCTGTTGGTCTGATTTTTATAATTATTATTATTAAAAAAAATTTTAATTTTCTCTATTATATATATAATATTATCTAATATATGTAATATATTATTTATCTAATATAAGGAATGCATAATATGATGCATATACTTCATATTAATCTGGAAATTAAGTTGAAATATGGAAAAAAGTTAGATGGCCAGAAGGCTGAGTGGTGGTTAGTTTTTCATATTTTAAATATTGTTGATTTTTTGATATGATGTTTTAATACTTAAATAAGTATGTTTCGATATATACTTATTTAAGCATTAAAAATAAATTTTTGTAATTTTGTGAAAAATCTGAATATAAAAAGTATTATTAAAAAAAATCCAAAAATAATAATAAAATAGAGAATTTTATGATACTGAACTTCATATAAATACATAATAATAATCTGTATAAATTAGTTGTTAGATAGTTACGTGAAGATTACATTGTTTTAGTAGTTTAAAGTGCGATTTTGTAAGAGGGAAAAACTATATAAAATTATGAAGTTAAAACTTTAGGCTATCATTTAGCCTTATCCCTATGGGACACGACTCGCGACGGGCGCTGCCTGGGACGAATTCAATTTAGTTNAGCTTGGAATTTAGATAAATATTTTTCTCGTTTGCAAATGCTTTACTATAAATTTTATTATTCACTAAATTCAATTGGTGTCTAGAAAATAAAAATTAATTATAGTTTCACTTTCGAAATTATAAAAGACTGAAATTAATTAGATTTAAACTTCTTAATAAAATCTCATCCATTTTAATTAATTATAATTTCCAATTTAACATAGATGATGTTGAATAATATATACATAGTAAAACCTGGATAAACCGGTACAGAATTTTTTCCGTTTTGGACAGGTTTTACTGTGTGTATTTTTTTTTATTGCATAAAAAAACAAGTAAATTGGTAGTAATAAAATAATACATTTTAGTTTATTGGAAGTATTTTTTTAAAAAATAGTTAACTTATCCTAGGGTAATAATTATTTTGTATTTATTAATATTCGTAGAATATTGCATAAGTAATTAGAGTTATTCGAATTTTAATACTTAAGAAAATTTGATAATGCTTAATAAAACAATAAAATTGTCGAAAATGGAAACCTGCCAAACTGGAAAAATATTCGGTAACGTACAATTCCGGTTTACGCAGGTTCTGCTGTAAATTTAAATTGATCGAAATTAAAAATTTCGAGCATTGATACATTTTCATTCAGTTGTTCTTAAATTATATGTTGTTGCGATACAATATAAAGCCAACCAACGATTTATGTGCATTTGAAC